GACTTGAATCAAAGTTATCGACTTTGAATCAAAGTTATCGACTTTGAATCAAAGTTATCGACTTTGAATCAAAGTTATCGACTTTGAATCAAAGTTATCGACTTTGAATCAAGTTATCGACTTTGAATCAAAGTTATCGACGCTGAATCAAAGTTATCGACTTTGAATCAAAGTTATCGACTTTGAATCAAAGTTATCGACTATGAATCAAAGTTATCGACGCTGAATCAAAGTTATCGACGCTGAATCAAAGTTATCGACTTTGAATCAAAGTTATCGACTTTGAATCACAAGTTATCGACTTTGAATCAAAGTTATCGACTTTGAATCAAAGTTATCGACTTTGAATCAAAGTTATCGACTTTGAATCAAAGTTTATCGACGCTGAATCAAAGTTATCGACGCTGAATCAAAGTTATCGACGCTGAATCAAAGTTATCGACGCTGAATCAAAGTTATCGACGCTGAATCAAAGTTATCGACTTTGAATCAAAGTTATCGACTTTGAATCAAAGTTATCGACTTTGAATCAAAGTTATCGACGCTGAATCAAAGTTATCGACGCTGAATCAAAGTTATCGACTTTGAATCAAAGTTATCGACGCTGAATCAAAGTTATCGACGCTGAATCAAAGTTATCGACGCTGAATCAAAGTTATCGACGCTGAATCAAAGTTATCGACTTTGAATCAACGTTATCGACTTTGAATCAAAGTTATCGACTTTGAATCAACGTTATCGACTTTGAATCAAAGTTATCGACTTTGAATCAAAGTTATCGACTTTGAATCAAAGTTATCGACTTTGAACTAAAGTTATCGACTTTGAATCAACGTTATCGACTTTGAATCAAAGTTATCGACTTTGAATCAAAGTTATCGACTTTGAATCAAAGTTATCGACTTTGAATCAAAGTTATCGACTTTGAATCAAAGTTATCGACTTTGAATCAAAGTTATCGACTTTGAATCAAAGTTATCGACTTTGAATCAAAGTTATCGACTTTGAATCAAAGTTATCGACTTTGAATCAAAGTTATCGACTTTGAATCAAAGTTATCGACGCTGAATCAAAGTTATCGACTTTGAATCAACGTTATCGACTTTGAATCAAAGTTATCGACTTTGAATCAAAGTTATCGACTTTGAATCAAAGTTATCGACTTTGAATCAAAGTTATCGACTTTGAATCAAAGTTATCGACTTTGAATCAAAGTTATCGACGCTGAATCAAAGTTATCGACGCTGAATCAAAGTTATCGACTTTGAATCAACGTTATCGACTTTGAATCAAAGTTATCGACTTTGAATCAACGTTATCGACTTTGAATCAACGTTATCGACTTTGAATCAAAGTTATCGACTTTGAATCAAAGTTATCGACTTTGAATCAAAGTTATCGACTTTGAATCAAAGTTATCGACTTTGAATCAAAGTTATCGACTTTGAATCAAAGTTATCGACGCTGAATCAAAGTTATCGACTTTGAATCAAAGTTATCGACTTTGAATCAAAGTTATCGACTTTGAATCAACGTTACTGACGTAGATTGAACGTCGATAAAAGGCGATAATATTGTCGCACAACATTCTATGGACAATCAGAATGTCGTTTCAGTCAATCACGTTTCAGACGACACACGACTTTGGTTTTAGTCGCAATAGGAGCTAATCCTACTTAAAGGGGGGGGGGGGCCTTCCCTCTTACCTCCCCAATTTCCCCCCATCCTTCCCCCTTCTCATCTCTCACCCCCCCTCATCTCCCTACCTACTTCCCTATAATCTGGAATAGACAGACTTTTCTATTTACACTCTGCACCTGGATCTGTTACACTCCTTTTCCAATCTTTCCTCTCCTTCTCCAATCTTAACCCCCTCTTCCTTTCCCTCCCCTCTTCCTTTCCCTCCCCTCTTCCTTTCCCTCCCCTCTTCCTTTCCCTCCCCTCTTCCTTTCCCTCCCCTCTTCCTTTCCCTCCCCTCTTCCTTTCCCTCCCCTCTTCCTTTCCCTCCCCTCTTCCTTTCCCTCCCCTCTTCCTTTCCCTCCCCTCTTTCTTTCCCTCCCCTCTTCGTCCTTCCTCTTGTCCCCTTATTCCCCCTCCCACCATCCCTCTCTCCCCTTCTCTCAGGAAATGTATTATTGAAACAACTGTATGGATCTTTCAGAAAATATATTATCACTTAAAAATCTAAGGGAATCTCTCACACATTTCATAATGAAGTCCAGGAAAATCTCATGGAATGGAATGGTTGGGATGTTAAGGAATGTTAGTATTTTTTCTTAAAGTATTTATCTTAGGTCTACCCCCCCCTGACCAACCTATGTTCGGCCCGTTCAACAGGCCATTCCCCCTGCAAAGTTGTGTGAAGCTATTCCCTAGCGTCGGCCGAGCGGACAGCACGCTGGACTCTGATCCTGTGGTCCTGGGTTTGATCCCAGGCGCCGGCGAGAAACAATGGGCAGAGTTTCTTTCACCCTATGCCCCCTGTTACCTAGCAGTAAAATAGGTACCTGGGTGTTAGTCTGCTGTCACGGGCTGCTTCCTGGGGGTGGAGGCCTGGTCGAGGACCGGGCCGCGGGGACACTAAAGCCCCGAAATCATCTCAAGATAACCTCAAGAAGATAGCATCTGGCACGCAACTTTGAACAGATAGACTGTCTGTCTACCTGTTACCTAGCAGTAAAATAGGTACCTGGGAGTTAGTCAGCTGTCACGGGCTGCTTCCTGGGGGTGGAGGCCTGGTCGAGGACCGGGCCGCGGGGACACTAAAGCCCCGAAATCATCTCAAGATAACCTCAAGAATCTCAAGATAGATAGACTGTCTGTCTACCTGTCTCTCTCTCTCTTATAGTATGGATATATTGTTGTCGTTCTTCACATTATATGCTAAAGTGAATTCTGTTTGTCAATATTTGACAAGTCATTTCCCTATAATTGCCAATATTCAACATGGGGTTTACAGTTTACACAGCATCGTCAATGGAGTTTACACAGCATCGTCAATATTTAGTGCTTCTCCAATGACTGACAGTGTTGTCAGGTGAGCGGTTGTGTGTATAGAGCAAACTGCACTATTCTGTTTCTTGACTCTGTGGCTGACGTATTCTTTTCTATAATTTCCAATATGTTTATATCGTATAATATCCCATGCTCACGTATACTGTAATATGAGGTACAGTGGCTATATTAAATGTCCTAAGACACGAGGTGTACTATATTGTATTTTGAAATGTATATAGTGGTGTAGAATAGACCCAATACATGTCAGGTTATAACTGTGTGTTCATAATATACACAATATCTTCAGTTGCTAAGAGAGAGTGAGAGAGAGAGAGAGAGAGAGAGAGAGAGAGAGAGAGAGAGAGAGTGAGTGAGTGAGACAGAGATAGAGAGAGTGAGTGAGTGAGACAGAGAGAGTGGGTGAGACAGAGAGTGAGTGAGACAGAGAGTGAGTGAGACAGTGAGACAGAGAGAGTGAGTGCGACAGAGAGAGAGAGAGATAGAGAGAGAGAGAGAGAGAGAGAGAGAGAGAGAGAGAGAGAGAGAGAGAGAGAGAGAGAGAGAGAGAGTGAGACAGAGAGAGAGAGAGAGACAGAGAGAGACAGAGACAGAAGGGTTACACCTCTAATTTGTGTTTACAGAACTCCCAATTTAGAAGTACATGCAACACAAGAGTCAAGCAACCTTGTGGTACTCCCACATACATCCATACCCACCTCCTCGAAGCACCACCACACAATGATATACAACCAGGAACACTATACCTTAAACCATCACTCTAACCTGATATGGGAACGAGGTCAACACCTCTCCCAAAACGTTTTGACCTCCTCTTGAATCTCGCCTCCATAATGGTCACCACTCCCCATCACCAGAGCCACGAAAACAGAAGTGATATGGTTGTATTTTTTACAAGCGCCCCCCGCCCATTTTAATCTATTAGAAAAGACCTGGTATATCATGTTTGACCCACATTCCTGTCTAGGGATCATAATCTATTGTGGGTTTTTTTATATTAATGCTATTTTGTATCTCTCTTGTAATCATTGGATGGGTTAAATTGTGTACTTGTAGTTAAATAATTGGTCAATAAAATCAAGTGCTTTTTAAAATCATGGGAAGTATGTCTGAAACCTTGGGAAGTATGTCTGAAACCTTGGGAAGTATGTCTGAAACCTTGGGAAGTATGTCTGAAACTTTGGGAAGTATGTCTGAAATCTTGGAAAGGATTTCTGATACCTCGGGGAGTATTTCTGATTCATTGGGAAGTATTTCTGAAACATTGGGAAGTATTTCTGTTTCATTGGGAAGTATTTCTGAAACATTGGGAAGTATTTCTGTTTCATTGAGAAGTATTTCTGAAACATTGGGGAGTATTTCTGAAACCTTGGGATATATTTCTGTAACTTTAAAAAACATACATAATAAATGTGTCATATAAGACGGTCAGGGGCACTCAAACATACACGCCAACATACTCCACACTATATGTGTGGAGTATGTTGTTTAGCGAGTATAAACACAGGCTGGAAAGTCACTATTTGACTTAATAAATCACAACGTTTACAAACGTGATTTATTGCTGTAATTTGTATTTCAGTGTGCACTGTACAATAGTGTATAGTGAACACTATTGCCAGTTTATAGTACCATGCACAGTATTACACTGTACATTGTTTTAAACAGTATTAGGCTGTGTAGTGTTCTAAACAGTGTTAAATAGGGTTTTAAACAGTATTAGGTTATGTAGTGTTCTAAATTGTGTTACAACGTATAATGTTTTATACAATATTTTGTGTTTAGAGTGATGCACAAACACTATAATTATTGTATAATACAGTATACCTTACTCTAGTCTATTCTACCATATTCACTATTGCAGTATATTTTATAGAACACAGTATTGCCAGGGTATTGTGCTATTCACAGTATTAGCGAATGAATAATGCTAATAATGCCATACATAGTATTGCAAATGTACAGTGCCATTAACAGTATTCACAGTGTATAATGCTACATATACATTATTTCAAGTTTAAAGCGCCATGCTCAGTATTATTAGTGTATAAAACCTTACATAATATTGTCAGTGTACAGTGTCATTCACAGTATTGACAGAGTATAGCCCCATTCACAGTATTGATAGTGTACAGTGTCATTCACGGTATTGACAATGTATAGCCCCATTCACAGTATTAACAGAGCATAGTGTCATTCACAGTATTGACTGTATAGCCCCATTCACAGTATTGACAGTGTATAGCCCCATTCACAGTATTGACAGAGTATAGCCCCATTCACAGTATTGACAGAGTATAGCCCCATTCACAGTATTGACAATGTATAGCCCCATTCACAGTATTAACAGAGTATAGTGTCATTCACAGTATTGACAATGTATAGCCCCATTCACAGTATTGACAGTGTATAGTGCCACACACACACAGTTGTGACAGTATAGTGACTGATTTTAGGAAACAACAGTGCAATTTTTCCTTTGATCCAATTTACTCATTAAAATAAATAATTTATTTATAATTTATTCATTATTGGCCCACAAACTCATAAAATACATTAAAATTACAAAAACCAATTAAGCATTTTTGTTATATTGGAGAAATTTTTTTATAATGAGTCGTTCAGAATTTTCTCCTGATTTCCCACAACGTTACAAAATCCAATGTCTTAGCTTGGGGAGAAACATCTGTACCCAAGCGACCTACCAACCCTAACCTAACCTACACTACCGATTTATAGAAAACGTGGGGTTATTGTGAACCGTGATTTTCATAGTATATTTGGTACGTTTCTTGTCGTAACGTAGGGTAACGATCGAGTGGTTGTGACGTCAGTGGGGCAGACGAGGAGTCACAATAACGTGGCTGAAGTATGTTGACCAGACCACACACTAGAAGGTGAAGGGACGACGACGTTTCGGTCCGTCCTGGACCATTCTCAAGTCGAAACGTCGTCGTTCCTTCATTTTGTAGAGTGTGGATTGGTCAACTGACGTCAGTGGTGATTGGCGTTTGTTAACACACTTTTTCGAAGGATAATTGACTAAAGTAGAAAATATTGTTATCTGTGTTTTATGGTTGGTGTGGTGTATCCTGTGTGTGTCAGTGTATCTTGTATGTATCATGTATCGTGAATGTAGTATGTTTTGTGTATGTGTGTGTGTGTGTGTGTGTGTTTGTGTGTACGTACTTAGTTGTGCTTGCGGGGGTTGAGCTCTGGCTCTTTGGTCCCGTCTCTCAATTGTCAATCAACTGGTGTACAGGTTCCTGAGCCTATTGGGCTCTATCATATCTACACTTGAAACTGTGTATGGAGTCAGGCTCCACCAGTGTGTGTGTGTGTGTGTGTGTGTGTGTGTGTGTGTGTGTGTGTGTGTGTGTGTGTGTGTGTTTGTGTGTACGTACCTAGTTGTGCTTGCGGGGGTTGAGCTCTGGCTCTTTGGTCCCGTCTCTCAATTGTCAATCAACTGGTGTACAGGTTCCTGAGCCTACTGGGCTCTATCATATCTACACTTGAAACTGTGTATGGAGTCAGCCTCCACCAGTGTGTGTGTGTGTGTACGTACCTAGTTGTGCTTGCGGGGGTTGAGCTATGTCTCTTTGGTCCCGCCTCTCAACCGTCAATCAACAGGTGTACATGTTCCTGTGTGTGTGTGTGTGTAGACATTGCCGCCAAGACATCTTCATTTTTATCTTGATCCATCTTGCTGTTGTGTTATTTTTGGTAGTGAGGTGAAGGGCTATCATCGCCAGGCATGGGTTATTACGGTCATAAATACTTACCCACCAACTTCACCATTTGGTCACCATTTGGTCCGGGAGACATCTCCCGTCACGCAGGGTGCAGTTGCGCCTCCACAGATCTCCAGTATCATCTTTTGATACTGGTAATGGCTCAAAAGGGCCACCACTTACGGGCTATTCATGCCCGTGCCACCTCTTGGGTGGCTTAATCTTCATCAATCATCAATCAATCACCCACCAACTAGTAACTATACTTCAGTCCTAAGCAGTATATAGGACCTGTGTAAATTCTCGGTGTATGTATACTGCGAAGCAAGATATTCCTCGTGAGTATATATCTTATATGCCCTTGTCTCTATTCATATATATATATATATATATATATATATATATATATATATATATATATATATATATATATATATATATATATATATATATATATATATATATATATATATATATATTTACCTGAATTTACCTCAGAGCCACCATCTTACTTTTAGTCTCGACGAGGACTGATAGCCGGCGGCTTGTCAAAAGTCATGAGGAATTTATTCAGTTGGATTTTCAATTGCAGCAATGTTTGTGTTATTTACGGCTTCGGCGGGTAGGCGGTTCCATGGGTTTATAACCATGTAGGTGAAATAGCATATCCTGTTTTCTGTTCTACATAATGGCTTGTTGAGCTTGAAACCATCTCTGCTGCTTGGGGCTTTTTTGGGAGGAGGAGGAACTTTTGTAGTGGAAATGGAACTTTTGTGACAGGCTTGACTGAACCTGACAACAACCACCCAATGCCAGGTTGACAAAACGGATGCCTGCCAAGCTGACAAGACGGATGGCCTGCCATACACTAACTCTGTCAAGCTGGCAAGATGAATACCTGCCATTGACAGCCCTGCTGGCAATTTTTATGCAAAACATATATATATATATATATATATATATATATATATATATATATATATATATATATATATATATGTATATATATATATATATATATATATATATATATATATATAAAAACCTAGAAGGGGTACCACCTCTGGTGCAAATGTAGGGACCCATAGCCTCGGAGAAGAAAATAAAGAGTACTCAGAGAAGACCTTGTGGATCCTATATATATATATATATATATATATATATATATATATATATATATATATATATATATATATATATATATATATATATATAGACCATATATATATATATATATATATATATAATTTAAAATGCAGTTATAATAATTATAGAGATTCAGTTTGTGTAAATGTAAATTTTTTATAAATTCTAGGTTAAAATTTCACTTGGGACCGTGAGAGTTTGTATATAATGATGTATATATGTGTTATACATCATTATATACATCATTTATAATCGATTCCTTCTGAAGATGTATTAATATACGAAAGTACTTAAGGAAATTCCTGATTCAATTCTTCTTCCGTGGTCTGACACTGTCACATTTTTTTTTTATCACGGGTATATTTTCGTGATTTACACACACATCATTTATAATGTATATAATGACATTATTTATATACATAAACATATACATAAACCCCATCATTTAATGGGGGTTTATTTTTTGTGACAGGTGAGTGATGGTGTGAAGATAACTACTGGTGTTATCCTCAGGTTATCAGGATAACAGCTTTGGTTATCCTGCCCTACCTAACTCTCTCTGCTGAAGCTGTTACAAGAAAAAATATTAATATCAGCGAAACGTCACTTTGCAGTCGTTCTTGAAAGCGAAATAGGCCTTGAAATAATAGTATCACCTGTGCCCTCGTTCTGTATTAATGTGAACAACTAGTCTGTTTGTGTTGGCAATCATTCCTAGGCCTCAGATGTAATTTTATTTATTTTTTACGTTGATAGGGGCCTCGTAGCCTGGTGGATAGCGCGCAGGACTCGTAATTCTGTGGCGCGGGTTCGATTCCCGCACGAGGCAGAAACAAATGGGCAAAGTTTCTTTCACCCTGAATGCCCCTGTTGCCTAGCAGTAAATAGGTACCTGGGAGTTAGTCAGCTGTCACGGGTTGCTTCCTGGGGGTGGAGGCCTGGTCGAGGACCGGGC